GATAATAAAAAAGTTGAAGAAGTAAATAAAATCCGAATGGGGTTGGAAAATCATTGTGAAAATCCTTTTATTATAGAGAAAATCACTAAAAACAACCATACCGTTGAAAAAACGATTTTTGGTAAAAAAATGTTCCTTAAAAATAAATGAAAATTAATTAATTTTGTTGGTATACCGACATCACGCCATAGCGTGATGTCCCGATGTTATAATTTAAATGGTATATACCTATAGGTATACATAATAGGTGTATTAAGATTTACGAATGAAGTATATTCAAAAATACTCCTTTTGTAGGCTAGTAAAAATATTTTTAAATGTGACGTTGTTTCATTTAAAAATGCGTAACTCGTAAAAGAAACGAGATGGACCTTCGGTCATCTATGCAGATGATGTAAAAAAACAAAAAACTCGGAACACATCCAGATTTATCGTAAAACAGTTTAGAAAAAGGTTGATTTGCATGTTTTTTCCTAAGGGTGTTTTAAACTTACGGATAAAAACAACATTTTTATTAACCCTGGTATATAGGTAAACCTTTAAGCATCCAAAAATTCATCAGGATAAATTGCAGCGCAATCTAAATGAATTGATCTATAGTCCAGCGAAAAAATCATTGCAATCAAATCAAAAATTAAAAAGTTATGACATGTCAAAATTGTCAAAAAAATTTATGTGTCGGTTTTTTTGGCGGTGAGTGTATATAGACATTTAATAATAAAAAATTATAAACTTTTGCATAATTTTGCAAATGCAATAATGTATTTAGCTTTTTATATGATTTTTTGTTACCTGGGCAATTTGAATTAAAATATTTACTATGTAAATTAAAGCCATTAAAATTTTAAACCAAAATGAATTTTGTGCTAATAAAAAGAAATTCACTTTAATACGTTTATCAACATTTTAGTTTTCATTATTTGCAAAACCCGATAAATCTATTTTTACATTTTAAGAGGATATAACCGATTCCTACTAATTTTGGTAAACTTTTTTTAACTTAACACAGCATTTGAAGTAAAAACCGAAACAGAGACAACCCAACAACAGGAACAACATAGTTTTTAAACATTTGGGGCAATCTGCAGTGCTGTACACATTTTTGGCCAATATTTCATAAGTTAAAATGGATTTATCGGCTTTTGCATGTTTGCTCCATATTTGTTTTATGAAATAACTGCCCAATAGCAATTTATTTCAATGTATAAAAATCAAATAAAATTTGATTATGATACAAAAAATCTTATGTCATAAGATAATATTCTGTTAAAACAATGCGCAAAGAAAGTGGCATTTATGTATATTTTAAAAAAATTGTTAAATAATTATTAATGTTATTATTTACCATTTTTTTAAATAAAAATGCCGCTTTCTTTGCGCATTGTATTAGCAGAATATTTTCTTAAATAAAGGGTCCTACTAAATTTTACAATAAATTGAGTTTCCCTGAAAAAGTAGGAAAATCTGGAAAATTTCTATTAAGTCAACTTTTACCTGGAATACCTTTTAAAAGAGTTAATTTATCATAAAATGATGGGATACCTTTTTTGTAAAGACTTCAATTCCCTAGTAAAATTTATTTAAGTTTTATCGGTCCAATAATCGGTTGACGAGTAATACAATTTTAAAGTACTTTAAAAAATGAGGGATCTGTAAATATTAAGAGCTTACATTTTAACAAGACCATTTTTGTTACATATTTTCATAGGTATGTTAATTCTTTTATTATAATTATATCAAACGGTTTTGGATAAATCCTAGTATAGGTATTTAATTTAATAATATACTAAATATAAAAATTCTAAATATATTTTTTTAAATTTTAATACATAAATATATAATTATGAAAAATATATAATATATTTTATACAATGTATGTTTACATTTTTTATAGTTATGTTAACTTTTTTATTATAATTAAACGTTTTTTGATAAATCCTAGTAAATTTAATTTAAAAATATACCAAATAAAAAAATTCTACTTAATTATATTTTTTTAAATTTTTACACATAAACTTGAAACAAGTAATACAATGTATTTTTTTTCCTATGATTTAGAATAGTGGATTGAATCATTGCTAGTCCTCAAAAAAGTTTTAAAAATGAGTATGAGTATAAGAGACGTATAACCAGCCCCATTTCCTCTTGACTCTCGAACCCCGTACAGGTCTATATTTACTTACGCCGATTTTTGTTCTTACCCAGCAACTGCACGGCTTCACCCGTGTTTGCTGGGTGCGAATGTCCATTGCGTTCCGTACTGTCCCCTATTTGGGGCTCGAGAGCGAGAGACGAATAGTTTTAATAGCCATTCTCAGGTTCGCCGAGCCTATGCTATACGCTCAGTGGGGTATGGAGGAGGGACGGAGGTGGTTTTTGGGGGACAATTACGCCGACTTAAAACTAATTCCGACGCGGAATCCCCCTAGACCAGTCGATTAGTATTACTCCAAACATTTGGGATTACTATTTGGAGTTGGGGAGTTGTTATTAGACTGCAGGGGTGTATTTTCCTAGTCGAGGTTTTCGTCTTGTCATTGTCCGTGTCAGATAGTTCCTGCGCTTGGTAAAGTGTGTCAGTTGTTTTTTTTTTATTTTGTTTTTATTGTTGCTTAGTTGCTCCCAACTGGTCTTGTTAATTTGTGAGAAGTGCATGTTTTGTGCTAACGTGTCATGAAATGTGAAGCATGGTCTCCCGACTTTTTTAACTGTAAGATCTAGTTTAAGGGTGGCTTGTAGTATGTTGTTGCGTTGTCTACGAGTGACGTGGGCCCAGTATTTTAATTGGGCTACTCTTACCCTTTCGGTAATGGTTTTTCCCATTAGCAGGTATTTTACTTTTAGTATAAAGTCTAATGTGTTTACAAATTCCATGGAGTTTGGTTAGAGTACTTTTTTTTACTTTGTTTATGTTTTCTTAGTGTTATTTAGTGGTACCCGATGGTAGTCGGTTAAGTCTGTCGTTAGTAGTGTAATGATCTTCTGTTCAAGTTTGCGTAAATTTGTCCCAAGCACGTTTTGTGGCAGAGTTTTGTCTTTTTTTCTTAAATTCCTAAATTAAGTATTGCATTTATTTATTAGTTTAACAAATAACAAGCGCATTTATTCTGTTATCTAATGTTTACAAATCCAGTAGAGTTTGATTATTATGCTTTTTTTACTTTGTTAGGGTTATATGATTAATGTGTTAGTTTATTCTGTGAGTCTAGTGTTTATTTTCGGTCTCGTTTGGGTTAGCATTACGCATTTGTTGTTGACAGATTTAATGCCCTATACGCCTGTGCCTTTCTTAGGGATAAAAATATCTGCCGTGTTTAATTTGCAGATTTTGTATTAGGTCATGCATATTCTTAAGTAACTTATCAATTTTTTTTTGCGGATGGCCACCTCCCCTCTTGTTTGACCTCCTTTGTTTGTTCAGTGAAAAGCGTCCAAAGACAGGTGGCACTTAACTCATTCATATCACTTAACACTTCACTCCTCATTGACCGTTACACCATTTTAGTTTGCACTCTATGAAAATTGTTTGTTTCACTATAATTGGTTTGCACTTTTTAAAAATTATTGTTGGTTTTAATCTTTAAACTTTTACGTTTTAAGAGCTTACACTGACGCGTGGTGCCTTCTCAAGCGCTGGAACCTGACTGTGAAGTTTTAAAAATCTACAACAGTATAATATTATTTTTAGCCTAAAAAGTTCTTTTTAAACTTTTTTCATAGAATAAATATATAAATTATATAAAACTATAAAAAAATATTTCAAAAAATAAACGATTTAATAAAAATACGGTTAAATATGAAATACACCCAAAATAATTAATTCAATACGAGTAAGTTCTAAATATAGACATATTTTTAAATAAATCCCTAAGAGGCAGATGTTGACTATTTCCGAATGCTTCCGAACAACTAAATTACTATTTTGGTGGTCATAGAAGCGTTTTGAATCTTGCGTTTTTTAAAACGCTGTAAGTTTTCAAAAATTGTTTGAGAAACATAGAAAAGAAATTGAAATAATAAACTCGTATGCTTTTGACTCAAACAGCTGGACTAGCCCCAACTTCTTTGAGATAAAAAAAAATGATATCTTACTGGAAGCACTAATGCTTTTAATATTTAATAACTTTTATCTACCCTGTTTGTTTTTGCTGGCGATTTTTATAATACAAACAAGTTGTTGAAACAACAGCTGTATTTCGTTCGATAAAAAACGAAGTTTTAAAATAAATGAAAGACAAGCTAAAATTTGATGTTTATTATTTATTTGTATAAATATTATAAGTACAGGAGAAACCCTTACACCATGTCGTTTATTTACAGAGAAACACACGTGGAAGGCACCTTATGGTTTTTATAGTAACAATCAACAAAAAATAAATAGATCAAAAATAAAAGATTTCAACAATTAATTAATAAGGATAATATACAGGGTGTTCAAAAACGATGGGCAAATACCACTAAAATTTGATTTTGCTCATTATTTTGGGCACCATGTGTAATAATGAATAAAATAGCAAAATAAAATAAAATTTTATAAAAAATCTATCTTTACATTACATGATATTTTTCTAAAGTTATATACGTAATAATGATTGTCTATACATTTTTATATAATTAGACAATACTAGTTTATTTTCGTGGCAATCTTGTCTATTTATTAACTTAAACATATAAAAGGTGGGCCAATTTTAATCCTAAAGTTTTCGTACCTAAAAATATCATAATAGTAATAATTTAATGAATTTAATAATATTTTTAAAAATGCCTTTTTAAAGTATAAAATTAATATAAATAAATAGGTGTTGTGTGAGAAGTTCTTTTAAAATTTAAAAGAGCAATATTTGATAACACTTTTTAAGTTAAAATACAGCTGGTAAGTCCTGCTAATTAAAGATGGGACACCCTGTTTACAAGGACTTTTAAGCTGTTTTGGTAAACAATTTAATATACCCTGAAAATGTAATCAAAATCCGATAAAATTTGTTTTTTTTTCTAATACCTTTCATCAAAATCTGACAAAAAGTTACAGAACTTTAAGAAAAAGTTGGCTGCAAAAGTAAAAAGTATACTTTATACAAAAATAATGTCCTTTTTTTAATTTTACCAGATGATAATTAAAATTTTAGGAAATTATTTTATATCAAAAATTTAAATCTTAAAATATATATAATAAATCAGCTGGTGAAGTCCTGCCCCTAAACCATGTGGACTTTTGAGCTGTTTTGGTAACAAATGTATGGCCAAATCTTGATAAAAACCTTATATTTTGGCTTTTTAGTATAATTAATATGGAATGATTTTTTTAATGGAAGAACTACTCTTATTAATATATTATATACTTTCCTAATAATACCTACGACTTTTTGATATTATAAATTGGATAATTGTTATTTATTTAACCCAGTCTTGGTGATATATGTAGTGTACAGGGTGATACAAAATATATAACCCCACAGGAACATTTTCGGTACAGTTAAAACCAAATCCATTGCAATGAAAAGTAAAAACCATAGATTTGGCTTTCACCGTACCTTTTAATACTTAGGCCGTACTTCCTTAAAAATCCACTGCTGATAGGCGTTGTTAACGTCGCAAGGCATCAAAGACAGATGACTCGTTTGCGGGTGGAGCGCTATGCATTTTTTATGCGTTCTATGCAACAAGGTGTGCGTAGCGTCGTCGTAGGACCAGGGTCCGTCCACGGTGCCCAGGCGACAGAAGGCGAGTTTAACGCCCTGCGCATCGGCTTCCACGCAGCGCTCGCCTACTCCGATCTGACCTTTAGCGTTGAGGCGCATGAGCTGATTGTTTCCGAAGCCGTGGCAGTGCTGGATTGCCATCAAAGAGGGCGGGGCGTGGCCCAAGGTGTCCAGGCATTTGCCTACTGCGACCGAACGGACTTCCCCTAAAAAAAATTGTTTTTACGTGATTTTTATACATAGACAGGGTTGGCTGCCCAGTGGGTTCTTTTGGGTAGAACCCACTTAAAAAATACCGCAGTGTTCTTTAAAAGTGATTTTTTGTCTAAACTTTAACTCTTCAATATTTTTATATATTTTTTATTTTGTAAAAAGATAAAACATTACATTTTTATGTATGTAAAAAACTAGTCTTTAATCAAAAGCAGTACCATTTACTCAATGGCAGTACTCTCTAAAACTGAGAAACGATCAAACCATTGACCAAACAAAACGTAATTTTAAAGTTCGGAGGTTCCCCTGCCGATCTATACACTTATGAATTTTAAAGTTGACAAACGACTGCGATAATAAGTTCTGAAGGATAAGGTAGTGAATATATTTGACTTTTTCTTGACAGAAATGTTTTTAAACGTTGTTTTTTTACTAACATCTAAAATTAAAAAACCCAATAAAACCCACTTATAAAACCCAAAAAAGCCCAATGGGTTGGGTTTTATTTAAAAAACCCGTTTTATTCCAACCCTGTACATAATGTCACTCTTTGTTACCAAAAGGATATTTATTTGAACTTCATGTTTTTTCAAATTTTCTACACATATAGGTACCGCCTATTCGCTATATTTTGTATAGATGACCTTGTTTCCTTTTTTGAGGGAAAATTTGCAGATTTGCCGTAACATTTTACCTTATGCGCATAGTCAATTCATAAGTGTGGGATTTAAAATATATGATACCATAGACATAGTAATAATATGATACGAATTGTCAATGAAATAAAATTTAGGTTATATTAAATTTTTCTAAATTATTTGCTTATATCTCCTAGGTTAGGCTTACATAAATGTCTTTGGTTGGCTTTATAAAAAGCAAAAAGTGGCATAATATGCACACTATGTTTAAGCCACTAAAAATCTTGTAAACACAATGTAAAAAAAATGCCAAAACAATTGGTATAAAACAGAAAACAAACAAAATGGTTAATTATAAAAACCCTCTACATATTAGTATGTCTATGATAAATACGACGTTGCCAAATTCTAGCTGTTAATAAATTGTATAAAAAAAGCATTTAACAATAATAAACAACAATATAATGATATTTTAGATTTTATAATGGCATGTTTATAACAACCTGTTATAAACATACCATTATAAAATCTAAAATATCGTTATTTTGTGTGTATATTATTGTGAAATGCTTTTTTTCATACAATTTATTAAAAAGTATTTTTTCTACTCTCACCTTTAAAACGCCCTTTATCGTACATGTTTCCATGACACTAAGTGACCTTTTAAATACACATTGACAAGTTGTGGCTTTATGGCGCTTTTTTTTTAAATGTTTTATTGGCTTTTAATCTTTTCGACTATTTAGCCAGCTCATTATTATAAATTTTTTGGTTCTTAAAAACAACCACAACACCCAAGGCTGTGACCGGGAATCGAACCCGGTACCGTGGCGCAGATTGATTACCGCTCTGTAGCTTTAACGCACTGCGCCATCCTCGGCCCTGGCGCTTTAGTCACGGGCTGAAGTTAGTTAACAGTTGTCAGATGTCATATAATCGTTAAAATAAAGTGCCTTTCTTGTAAAATAATACTAAAAGTAAAAATTATTTTATTATCTCAATACAAAAGTATTAAATAGTTTCTCAACGCCAAGTTTAAATGAACATTGTACTGACCTTTTAATTTCGCTGGCAGTAAACTATAACTTAAATTCGGGCACGGACTTCACTGTAAAGTGCTCATAAAACATTTTCTTTACTTTCACTGTGAAAAACTGTCAATTTTCAAGAAATACATTTAGATTTATAACCTTTATAATCTGTGTTTATAAAATATAAAAATTTGACATTTGACGGTGACACACAGATTCCCCTATTGTTTCATAGATGGCGCTCTATACAAATTTTTTATTTAAATCATTTTAAGATAATAATAAGTATTTGTCGTAGAAAAAGTATAGTATGCACCTCGTTTATAAACTTTTCTATACACTCATTAATTTAATTCATGTATAAAATGGCGTTTATCAAACTGATACATAATAAACTATATTATACAGTTTAATAAATACTTTTTAATAAATTTATACTTCCCAAATAGGGACAAAAATATGGTATTTTTTAACCGGCAATGACACGCATGCGCCTCAATGCATGCTCCCGTGTGATTCTCACTTTCCCTACTTTAACCCCACAAAAAGGAAACAGTCTCAGTTAGAAATGATTTGTATGTGCGTGGAAGTATGTGGATTTTCTATATTTTTAATTCAGGTTGCCTTTTATAAAAATAACCTGTTCGCAAATTCGAAAAAATGGTACTAAACGAAAAAATTGTCTAGGAATTTACCCTTTGGGCTGTTAATTTTGGTACACCCTGTATACACATTATACTCTAAATTTACACCATTTTTATATGTATTTAACTATATTTTATTGAATTTTCAAACTTTCCCCAAAATTTCAACATTCTTTTTTAGTGTGTGTGTAATTTTTATACAGAATGTCATCTAGAGTCAATTATAGCTCCTTACCTGAATGCAAATTGGGCGGCAACTCGGGGAATTGATCCAAAACATCGTAAGCGACATTCTCCATGTACCATGAAAAACTCTTACACTTCAACCTATCCTTTAACTCAAGTTGTTCAGTAATGTCACCCATATCCAAAAACCTAGCAGTAGGCTCCCTGGTATAAAAGAATTGCTTGTACTTCTCGTCGAACCACGTCTCGATAACTCTCTTATAGTTTATCGTTATCAACGGCCCCTTCTTTTTTTGAGCTAACTTTCCGAAATTATACGGCATGAAGGAACGGTACACATGACCTACCCTCGAGCAGGGTACCCATTCGATACCGCCACCGCACTGCCAAATTTTGAAGGAGAGCTCAAAGTTTTCACCGCCCCACACCTAAGAAAAAAGTTATACAGTAAATTTGTATGGTGTATTTTAAAGAGCGTACTTTTGTTGGTATACACAGAAAGTTTCATTAAAATAAAAAAAATGACCAAGTTACAAAGGCTTTTGAAAAACCTTGCACATTGGGTGTCAAAATAGTTATTGTTGATTTTTTATGTTTTAAGGTATACTAATAAAATAACAATTATATAAATTTTACCAAAAGTTTTAGTCTACCCTAAAAAGTCTGACAAAATGTGTAAAAGTTATAGAGGATTTTAAAACACCTTACATTTTGGGCTACAAAATCTGAAAATTGTAACTCCAACAGTTTTGTAATTTTAATATATCTTTCATGGTATACTTACATAAATACGACCTTTTAGTTAAGGCTATAATAAATATCGCACTTTTTCAAAAATTGCATTAATATTTAGAAGTTTGTTATGTTGCACTATGGAAAATCAAGGTCTGGCGTCATAAATCCATAACTTTTTTATTTATAAAAATCTGTATCTCAGAGCCAAACTGTATTCTGTCCACTTTTTTTTAAATAATAATTTACATGTTTTCCCCCTTTGTTATACCTGAGCATAGATCTTTTATTTGAAAGCCAAAGGGCCGCGCTATAATATCTCTTAGCGGTATGTAAAATTTATATGTATGTATGTATTCCTACCCGGTATATAATAAAATAAATATATATTTTTGTAGCTAATTTCATGTTCTTTAACGTCATTGAATTAAATTTAAATTATTATTTTTTTCTATTAAAAAACTAGGTAACAAAATTTAAAAACAAAATAAAAATGATTTTTAACTAAGTATTTTTTATGTTATGCCTTAAAATAAATTTAAATTAAATACAATTTATTTAAAGCCTTTTAAAAAACTTTATATATGTACAAAATTTTAGCAGTCTTTTAAAAAGTTATGGATTTTTGATTCAAGACAGACATAGATTTTCCCATAGTGTGTTCGTCCAAAATGTCTTGTAATGTAATTTTTGTAAAAATAATGTAATTTTAATAAAAGCTTCAAAGTATGCCTACTGGATATTTAAAATTAAAAAAAAATATTTTGTATCAAATTTAAAAAATATCTTACCAATAGACCAGAGTCATAAGCTCCCAACTCCAAAAAGTACTTGCGATCTATAGCAAACAGCCCTCCAGCATGTGTGGGACTTTTGTAGGGCTCACTGTTGTGTTCTCTGGTTTTTAATTCACGTCTAGGGACTTCGTTTTCCTTGTACAACATGCCCCATTCAAAAATACCTAAAAAAATTGGATTGAATAGTTTTTAAATATTGTTAAAATTAAGAGCTCTAGGATTTTATACAGAAAATAATTTAGTACATTTATAAGGTAGTAACTTTGTTAGTTTTGCAGATATAGGTGGTATAAACCAACAAAAAATATAAAATAAAAAGTATTTTAAAAGTATTTTTTACCTCTAAAATGCCTGTCCTGCCCGTAAACAGGCTTGTACTGGAACGTTTTATGATCAATACCGTCGATGATCGGAACGGTCATAATTTTTCTGTCCCTATAAATGGGGGCCAATAGTGGAGGCAACCAATTGGTGTTAACCTCGCAATGCGCGTCCAAAAACACGATAACCTCTCCGTGAGCCTCCTGCGCCCCCCTTGACCTTGTGCGAATCAATCCTTCTCTTTGAGTGTTCCGGATTAACCTCACTTTTCCGTTGAACTGTTCTAGATAGTCGTCGAGGTCGTTTTTGAGTTTTTCTTTGTCGCTAAAGTCGTCGACCAACAGGATTTCTTTGAGGATGTGTTTTGGGGTTCGGTTGAGAACTGAGTGAACTGTTCGAAGTAAAACACTCCAGCCTTCGTTGTGGAATACAATTATCACACTTGTTGATGGAAGGTTATAAGGGTAATCCCAGTGCTTGCACTCCTGTAGTCGGGTATCTAATATTGTACGATCTAAAGAGATTTCATCTGAACATGCTACATTCATTCCATATTCAGACTCAGATTGATCAGCATCATTTTGTTGGTCATGTCTTAAATTATGAGCTAAACCTTTCTCGCCTGGACCGTCTCTATCTTCAATTTCTTTAGGTTCAAAATTACCCAAACCTTTCACAAGCTTTGGTCTTTCACTGTGCAATTTTTGCGATATCGGCAAGTTTAAATTGTAACCTTTATCTTTATCATATGTTGAGAGTAAGTAAAATAATACTAGAACTACTAGGACTAAGCAGAAAGCTCTTATAGTTCTTTGTCTACGACCCAAAATTGATTGTACCCCCATATTATAATTATAACTAAAAAAAAATTCAAATAAATACTATTTTTTATATGCATTAAAAACATACCTTTCTCATAGATTATTCCATCAAAATCACCTTGAGTTCCTCAAAAATACCTACCTAAAAAATAAGTTTTATTCAAATACAATAACTAAAAAATTAATAGGTGCATTTTAAAGAAAGTTTTGTTAGTATACAGTATAAATTTCATCCAAATCAGTCAGCTTTTGTAGTAGTTACAAGGGGTCAAATCTAGAGATACAGGCGAACGATACTGTATACCTAAAGCCATTAATTAAAATTTTAATCAAAATGGTTGTGGTATAGAACAAAAATACCGTTTTATTACAAAATTAAACATTTTATCGTCTACAAAATCCAAATAAAGTAAAAATACCGAAAAAATTTAGATGGTACCCACATATAACAAAACTAACTATAACTAACCTTAAGAAAAATCATCTTAATATCACTTTAAACATACCTATAGAAACTATTTATTATATAATTTCTTTAAAATCCCATATATTTACTTAACAAATCCGGTTTTTATTAATTTTTACACGTAAACACAACCGGTGACATTACCTATTTGACATTTGGCAAATTACAGGTAATACAGAAACCACCTGTTCGTTGCTACCATGGTTGCTACGTTCTAAGCTTTGACTACCGTCCGACAGGTGATGAGCCGCTCATCATGAGCGTCCAAGCCAGTGTTGCCACCTATAACTTTTTTTTCGTAATAGACACATGCGTCAAAATGTAATAGATTTGGGATTTTTGGTAATAGACTATTTTGAATCAATTTTTTTTAATTCTTTGACGTTTTACCGTTGTCATTAGATTAAAATTGAATTTTTATTAATGATGCTTTATAATCTGTGCATGATGCTTATGCTATTTTAATAAAAACTTTATGAACACAAATTTAAGCACACAACAAACGTCAAACACTCAAGCAGTGTTGCCAAACGTACCAGTCGTCTATGAAACGTACGATAATTTTCCATAGAAAGAATAATTATCCTTTTTGTACGATAATAATTATACGTAGATACGTACAATTTACGAAATCACATGTAAGATAAAATTAAAATGTACAATAATTTCATGCAAATCAAATTGCGCAAGAGAAACTACCCAAAATTAACAAAATCTTAATCTTTTGTATAAAAAATAAGTTTATTTTAATTAACTCTTTATTTTTTTTTTTTTTTAACACGTTGATGGACACAGACAAAATTTTGGCGGGACCTGCTGCGTCACTTGAATAATTCATAAACCTTTTATCCTATCATCAAAAAATTTTACCGGTAACTTGATGATGCCTTTAGGGCTGTATATGGCCTTTAAAAAAGTTTGACGGCTATAGCCGTCATGCCCCACTATGAGATTTAAAAAAAAAAAAGGTGTGGTGAGTCATGACGGTCATAACCGTCCATGTTTTTTTCATTTCTACTTATCCATTATGGTAGTATAAAGTCACTGGTGAACAAATTATACTTTAATAATGACAAAAAGTCTAGATTCAAATTTAAATATTTATTTTTAATCTTAACAGTCTATATATATCTCTATAAATACTTATAATTTATAAGTTATAAAATACCTATAAATAATATAAAATTTATTTTATAAAAAGAAATTGCGTTTTTAGGACGAGAAAAAACATTTTAACGATAAAAATATAGTTATAGAAGTTATATAGTGATAAAAAATAATATAATTGTTCAAAAACTTATACTTACTAGCTTTGTTACATCAAAATTTTACTCCACCTTACAACAATCAAATTTTTACTCCACCTAACAAAAATCGGTCACAAAAACGGCCGAATTTTAGGTTTAAAATTTAAAAAATTAATTTGCAACCAACTACATTCTGCAACCAAAAATACATTACGTCTCATGGGACACATATGTCAGAGCTTCCTATGGATCTCATTATTAATGCGCCTGCATATGCAGGCTTGTCATAAATCAGCTAGAAAATTGCGACTGCTATAGCCGTCGTGTCATATTGGGCCCGACGGCATTTGCAGTTCTGTCCATGAAATGAAATTTAAAATATATAACAAGATTTAAACACTTATATTAAAAAAAAAAACAAGAAAAATTTAATTCTACAATAGTTTTGATGCGCTGCGACAATAATCTTTTGTGGGCTGTCTGGCAAGTTGCCAGTGGCAACAATAAGACCACAATAGAATATTTAAAAAAATTCCTACTAGGAAAGAAAAAAGTAATAAATTTACATCGTTTCGTAGTAGGGTAATATATTTTCGCTAAAAGTAACAGATCTATTACTAAAGTAATAGGGGTGGCAACACTGGTCCAAGCTTGTTCCACATACTTCCAAGAAGCATGTGGCTTGTTCCGGACAACTAACTAAAAAAGGGTTTGTTCCACAGACTGTGGACCACAGTGCTTTGTTTATTCAATAGCTGGCCATACACAGACGTTATTGCGCGCGGTTTATCGTGTTATCTGCAAAAACATATGGAAAATCATGTACGTGAGTGAATATCGCCGCGCGCAATGATAGAACGGGAAGGGATTTCAGACGTGCTTTCCTCTGGAGTGTGGCGTACATCATTTCAGCAGTATCCACACGCCACACGCCACATTCCGCGTCACGTGACACTTTTTGCCCACTCACATACGATTTTTCCTTTGAAACTGATATACTTCGCGCAATCACTTGCTAAATCATTTGAATACTTTATCAAGTGTATGGAACATGACGCTTTTTTTGCCATGCCGTTCTTTCGTGCATACTAACCGCCACATCCCAACACGCCACGATAAACCGCGCGAAATAACGCCTGTGTATGGCCAGCTAATAATATATTACGGATCATACACAGTTTTTCTGTTACCGATGGATAGTGCCGTTGCTGAGTAAACCTTTTTGGATGTGTACATGGTAGCCTACCATTGGAATGCAATGCATTGGTATGCCAAACATTTATATTTTTATAAAAAAAACACAATGTTCAAAGTTTGAACTTGAACTTCAAACCCTAAAATTTTATTAGGCATGATAGGGCGTAATACCTCATTTAAAAGGTTGCTCCACTGAGTATCATAAAAAATAGTCAAATTCTATTCACTTGTTTTCGAGATATTTAAAATTAAAGTTGCTATAGTAAACTTTGTTTCTTAATCAACAGCCATTCCACGCTACTCGGTAATTTTTGTAGCGTCCGTTACAATCAAAACTTGTGATTAAAAGCTACCGTTATTAAATTAAATACTGTTACAATAGTTAATATTACAAACATGTTTATTATGCTTGTAATAATTAGGCTTAAACTTATAAGCATAATAATTACGGTATACCGTAACTATAGTTTTACTCATAATTTTTTATTGTAACGGACGCTACAAAAGTTCCCGAGTAGCGTGGATTGGCTGTCAAATAAAAAAGTACAGACAAGGGATAAAGTGCAAACAAATAAATTGTAACAACTACATGTAGTTGTAGTTGTAGTGAGTACGGACTACTCTACGGTCAAGAATGAGTGCTAAGTGATAAGGAAGAGTTAAGCTTCTGAGCGGTCGCACCACCTGTCAACCGGAAGATTTTCACTGGCCAAACAAAAGAGGTCAAACAAGCCTATTCCGAATAGGCCATCGGAAAAAAATTAATAATTATCCTCAACTCATCTGCATGACCTCATATAATTTGCAAAATTAAACAAGACAAGGCACACTGCCTAATCTCTAAAAAAAACAATAAACATCGGTAACAATAAAAACTTTAGAAAGATAATACCTACTAACCAAAGCATACACCAAAGCTGAGTGGGACAATAAATCTGTCAACAAAACAGCCCAAGATTAACAAAAACGAGACCAAATAAGCATTTGACACTTAGAACATAAACTAACACTCAATAAATTAAGAATAGGTACCCAAACAAAGTAAAAACAGCAAAATAATCAAACTCTATTGGATTTGTAAACATTAGATTATAACAGAATAATTGTGCTTGTCATTTGTTTAATTAATAAATCAATTCAATACTTAATTTTGGAAATTAAGAAAAAAAAGACAAAACAATTCTACGACAAAACGTGCTTGGGCAACACAATAACTAAAAAAATGTTAGAAATTTCGCACTTCTGGGCCAATAAACAATTAAAAAAAAAACATCAAAAGCTACAAGTTACATACCCAACTAATGAACTATCTATTGATGGTTTTCGGCCTCAAGACTGAAGATACATGTGCACAATCCTACTTGGACACGAACAATAACGACAAAAACGTATACGTCTATAGACCAAGACGTAGACTCCTGCAGCAAAATAACAACTCCCGAACTCCATACAGTAATCCCAAATGTTTGGTGTAATACTAACTGCCTGCTCTACGGGGGTACCGTGTCGTACTTAGATTTAAGTCGGCGTAATTGTCCCCCAAACACCAAACTGTCTATCCCTCCCGTCCTACCTCCTTCATGACCCTACTGGGCGTATAGCATCGGCTCGGCGAACCCGGGAATGGCTACTAAAACCACTGGCATTTCGCTCTCGAGCCCTAATTTGGGGACAGTACGGGACGCAATGGACATTCGCAACCAGCAAACACGGGTGAAGCCGCGCCGTTGCTGGTGGCGAAAGAAAATCGGCGCAAGGAAACAGAGGCCTATACGGGGCCCGGGAGCGATGAGGCAATGGGGCCGGTTATACGTCTCATATACTCATACTCATAATGTTTTGCCTAACATGTAGTTGGAGTAGAGATTATAATTTGATTCTGCACAGATGTGTACTTTAAAGTCTTACTAACAATCATTGGCGGCTCCTAGGTACTGGAAGAGAGTGGGCACAAAAAACTTACCTACTAATTTTTGTACATAAAGTCCATTCTCCTTTCGAGAAATTGAATTTTCGTGTTTCTTAGCCCTCTCTGCGATGTGTTTTAAATCATCTAACCCATGTTTATTCCACGTACGTAATTTATTTTTTTGAAAACTAAGCACATAAAATAAAAAAGCTTATTGGTTACTGAACATCCGCATATCCACTCGTATTTTTCATAGATATTTCTGTTGAATACTCTATTGTAAGTTCGGCCTTTACCTGCACAAGTGTAGTGTATTCGAAGATCTGGAATATGTGTTCCTTATTTCTTAATTAAAAGTTTATCTTCAAGTGACATCGGGCTTTTTAAAAGATTTTGCACACAACTTACTTCCGCTGGTGAAATAATTGTTAAAAAAAATAAAGTTTATTTAAACACGTAATTCACTTAAAACTTAAAAAACACAACGGTGCGCGGCGACAAAAAAGTTAGAAATCAAACAAACTGACACAGATACCAGCTAAGATGTTGAAGAGACACTGCGTTCGGTGGCACCGAATCGGTGCCCCAAATTGACGATATATTCGCGAACTGAGAGGAAAACCGAAGATCACCGAATCATACTCGGAATAGGTATATTTCAAACTGTGCCCCGGCGGCGCGCGCTGAAGCGTTGCGGAAAGAAGGTTTAAATTCAACCGTTTTAGCGGACGGAAGGAAGGTTTGAGACCATACTTAAATAGTAATTACAATGGTGTTACGTATAAC